AATAATTTATGCCGATCCAGTCGAGTTTGACCGTTTTTTTGATTAACAAACTAAAATCTATTGAAAAAAATTGCTATTTTTTTTTCTTCTAAGCTGGACAAATAATACTTTATCGTAATTATTATTTCAATCATCGTCAACATTATCACTATTTCATTAATCAAATATTATTGAATAACAAGGTTGCACATTTGTGGTTTTTATTAATAATGTAAAAGACCAACAACTTTTTGAATACAAAAAGAAAATAAACAAAATTATCAGTAAATATTATCTTTAAATGGATCTTCTTCATTTTTCGGATACGATGCATATTTTTTCTTGTACCATAAATCAATAACTTTTGTCGATCGTTTTGGAAATGCATCAAGTTCATTAAAAAATGAACTTGTTTCAGGTGTAAAACGAACAGCATCTAATTGTATATGAACATTTTTCGGTAATTCAGATGATTGTTGTAAATCTTCAAGTACATTTGTATCTTTAACAGATGTTGAAAAATATTGATAGACATCTTCTAATGTTTTTATATCATTTAAAGTCATATTTGATATTGTATGAGAACATTCTTTCATACAACGTGTTAATAAATTATATTTATTTAAAGGATTATTTAGATATATTGATTTCCAATGACCATCTGAACGAGTTTCTTGTTTAAAATTGTCAATAGTTTCATTAGCTATTCGATAAATAATTTGTTCAATATTTGATGGTGGTGTATATGGACGACAAGTGACTAAACGTGTAACATATTTTTTGGTTTTATAAGAAGCTAATTCAGAAACTGTTGGAACAGCAGATTGTGGTATGGAATCTGGTTGTTCGATGATTTCTCCATCGAAATCATCTTTGATTTTTTTGGTTGAACTAGTTCGACCGAATAGTGTTCGTCGAACAAATGTATTGACAAGGTATGGCCGATGTACTGATAATAGACTATATCGTAACATAATAGATTATCTAAATTTATAAATAAGAAAAATTTAGTTGGGTATTTTATGTTATATTTGAGTGGCTTAAAGATGTAATCTTCTTTCGAAGAACATACTCATAGAAGAAATGAAAAGAAAACATATGTCAAAGAAAAGTGTTGAGAAAATCCACATACAGTTTCAGCAATACATACATACAAGAAATAGCCATTGAACTGAATTGCCTACCTCCTCTATTTAAATCAAACCATTCATAAGAGGTCGCTGTTTGTTGATGTCACAAAGTGCATGAGACAGACACTTCTGTATTGGAGATGGTTATTTTATAAAATGATTGCTATCATCTTTAATTTGCTTTTCAATTAAATAATTTTTGACTCAACTGGCATATGTTCCTATGTTTTTCTGATTGACCTATGATAAAGTTGTTCCCATTTCAGTTCGATTTCATTTGAATCGACTTCTTTTGATTTTTTGGCATTTATAAAAGAAAACCGTGCAGCATATGTCAGAATTGTTACGTGTATCAAAAAACCTGACTCATTCTTCAGTAATTGAGAGAGCGAGTACACTTAATGATATTTAAGCTAAAATCATCAGAATTCAGAATAGTATGTGTTCAATTTCGACTTTATATTGATATTGAACTCTCTTGAAGCATGGGTTGTTCTTTCATGCATTACGCATGAAATAACTAAATCGATTTTCTAAAAATATTTTCTTTATAATATGTTTTAATTTTGTGAATACTACGTTGAAATGAACTCAGATTTACTAAAATATCTATCATATAATCTTACAGAATGATTGTCTTCACTTCATGTCAATGTAAGTTTCATCTATGGAAATACGAAATAAGAATCGAAACTCATTTATAGAAACCAGCAATTAAATTTTTTCATTAATACTGAACGAAATCCATCATTATTTATCATCGCCTGCTTTGCAACGATGTCAACTATGTCAATATCATGCACAAATGATTTCTTTTTTGTTGTTGGCCATCATTATTCGTCTGTTTCCCATATAGAAGTTTGTATTGCTGCTATGAACAGTCCTTCTCAATAGAGTGCGTAGTTAACAAGAAAATTGGAGTTATGAAAAACAGAAATAAAAAGATGTACAATGTTGCTACGTTGCACAAGTAACAATAGAATCATTCAATAAACAACAGATTCGTCTAACACACACAACACTCAACGAAGTTAGAAATTAACTTGACTGTAATATCACTGGTACGTATGACTTCGGTTATTTCGTTTTGATGAATAACCTATTACGATGTTTCCTAAACTCAAAGCAAGTATAGTAAACATCATAAACATGGTAGGCATAAAATCGAAATATTAATAACAGCCCATGTCGTACATTGTACTGGAACCACCGTCAGTCAAAAAGTGCCGAAGCATATGGATATGTATCTAAATAAATTATTATTATTATTTTTTTTATTTAGATCAATTTGAATATTATCTAGTCAACAAAATTATGAACCAAGAATTATCAACGACTGCTAATCATATCTACGATTCATAGTCCTATGGGTTTAAGAATAAACGTAAATTGTCATAGGTAGCAAAGTGGTTTTTATGAGCTTTGTTAACAAAAACAACTTACGATGTATAAGTATAAAAGATAAGAGGATTTTTATTAACGAAACGCGCTAAATCAATTTGCTGCTTATGACAATATACATTGATTCTTAGATTCATAAGACTACGGATCACTAGGTTCGTATCCTGATCCTACCGGTAAAACATGAAATTACTGCCGGTTAACCGCCATTTTTTCTCCAGTTTGAATTACATGGAAAAGGATTGAGACAGAAATGAAATCGATATTCATGATGAACTTCCGTTTATTTGATCGGCACTCAGCGATCCATCGAATTCACTTTCCTGTGTCCATAGCACATATATTTGTTAATTTTATTGTTTTTTATTCCAGGATTTTGTCTATATTTTACATAATCATATGGTTTGTTACATTTTCCTCATATTTTATAACTTTCTTTGACGTTGAATAATGCAATTGAGCTATCAAGTAACATCACTAGTAATTTCACAAGATAAGAAATAAAAGCTTTACTTTCATACTGCTGACATGTGGCTGTCAATAGGAATGACTTGATTCGTGACAGTGACAGTGAAACGTTTGAGTCAAATTGAAATACGTAGCAGCGAAGTCAAAGACCTTTCAGCTATCAAGCTTGAGGTAGAGTTTGCAGACGGATAGCATCCTTATTACATAATGAACGAGTGAGGATTATTTCTCAATCGTAATAATTACATGTATAACTACTCCACGTTCTCTTTTCAATCTGTTCTTCTTTAATTTTGTCTTTTGTCAATATATCAGTTCGTCTTCTTTTCTCTGCTAATTTAAGGACACTTTTATTATGCATGTCTTAACAAAGAAGAAGATCATTCTCGATTTTCTTTTTTTTTCTTTTCGTTGTATAAAGTCTATGTTTTTACTGAAAAAACCATTCATTCGTTTCATTTTCATCTGACTTAAAAAAATATATCCTTATCTAATTGTCCTATCATGCATCAACGCAAGAGGGTACAAGCGGACACGAATGCTATCGGATCAGACGTCAAAACATGGTAGTGATCGGAAAAAGCACCGACCATTAACAGGATGTCTATTTATGAGGATAAGAGCTTAGTAAAATGCAAAGATTCATCGAAATATAGATAAAACTATTCAGCCTCACATGTATCCATGACCAGGGACATTCCGAGCGGCAAGGAGCTAGCTTAAAAGTTCTCAAAAAGTCGTTCGACGTCACCACTGCAATCACGGCCACTTCAGAACATCGCTATCCATGGCGATTGATAGTAAAAATCATCGTTTCAATAGTCAAGAAGTACGGCAGAGAACGAAACTTAATGTTTTCACTGATCACTATGTCAATAAGAGTAGACAAAGCTTTTGTCAGACAAAAATACATCACAGAGCGTGAAAGCTACAGGCCACATGTCCATGTTGGGGTGAGGTGTGGGTGTGCTTCCGTAGGAGACCCACATCTACTCAACACGGATAATCGCATCCACATCCAAACGTATTTTAGAGCCTGATAACACTCATTTATATTAAACAATAACTGCATGAGCAGAAAACAAAATGGAATGTAGTAAGATTAGTCCCTGTGGTTGCATGCATGTAATGGGAATGGTCTCTTTCTGTACTTCGATGTCTATTTTGGATTTGACAAACTAGAATTCTAATTTCGGGGGATCATATTCTTTCCAGAGCACAATATGTACTTGTATTCGCGCAGCTCTCTGTGAGACTGAGAGAAATAGACTTCAAACGATCGATTAAGAATTCATGATACAAGTGAATTACTAAATAACTTAAAATTTCTATATTTTATAGAAGGGATTTACTTAATACACGTTTATACCTAGATTTGCCTGTATGCATATCCCTATTCCGTTAGTCTAGGACTAACGAGGGAACCACCCGAGGTGTCAAAAAGCTTTTCAGTCGGGGATATGATGGTTAGATAGGGCATAGCTAGGAGTGATATAGCCTAAGTTAGTTCGTGCCCAAGTTGCTTNTTTCCACCAATGCACTTTGGTGAGACTGATTTTTAAGAGCCCATTTTTATAATAAATAAAGAAAAAAACTAACATTGAACATTTATGGTATTAATTTCTTCTGATGAATTAAAACTTCGGAGTTATAGACAAAAATTATGAAATTGAAGTGTGCGACATCTACTGTTGCATAGTTCTTTTACGCTCTGAAATGCGTGAGACTAATTTTATTGAAAAAATAAAAACGCAGTTTGAAAGAGAATTTATTTTAAAGTATTTCCATAGTATTTTTATCTTCTGATGCCTCATAAAAAGTAGAAAGTACATTTCGACATTGATTCGATGACTCATCTGGATGTGTACATAAACTATTTATTCAAATGCACCGAATAAATATGTCTTACAATAGAAATAAATTCATTGGTGTTGCAGCATTAACCAATAACAATAATTGTTTATTTTTTTTTCTCGTTTTTTTCTTTGCATTACTCATTTACGCATTGAAAGTGACGGAAAAATGTATGTTGAAATTTTTCTATTAGTAAAATATAAACTATTGGCATTTTTTAGGACTAATACTCATCCATTAATAAAATGGAGTCAAACGAAAGATCATATTATATTAACAATTGCTGTACAAGATATTGATAAGCCTGACATAAATATTGAACAAACAAAATTTCATTTTAAGTAAAAGAATAAATATTAAAATTTTCTTTTTTTTTGCATAGCCGCTAATTATTTCATTCTAGAGGTCAACAAACAAAAGGATCAAGTTATGATACAACATTTGAATTTTTTGATGCGATTGATCCAAATGTAGGTTTGTTTTTTTTGAAAAATGAATTTTTTAATGAGTTATTAATTAATAGAATAGAATTATAGATTGTACTTATGAGATTTTGATAGTTTTATTAAGATTTAATTTTATTCAACAGATTTTTCTCTCAAAAGATATTTTAGTCTAATCTTCTACGAAATTTTGAAAATCTCTGGTTACAATAGAAGCCTCTGAAATTTCTAGGATGTGGGTGTAGATGTTACGAAAGAGAAAACTTACACATCTACACCGTAAGATATTATGAGCAAAAGAAGTATAAGTTTGTTAGTCTCTGATGATGTTTCAATAGCTATTCCCAGATACTGTGACGGTTACAGACTACGTAGTGATCATGGTTTTTAGAAAGTATCTTTAACCATGCGTATTTGATGCGTTGAGAAATATTTTTTATATGCTGACGGCGCCTAACTAAGACTAACTTAACGGCATATGCAATATATTATTTGAAGAACTGATATTGTTTGGGCACAATAGAAGTCCTAGGACTTGTATAGCATGTCTTTTAGATCGGTTGCTTTAGAGGGGCCTTTTGTTTCAGGAAGCAGTTTATTTTAGATTAAAGATTTAAGAAAAGGCGACTATAACTTACAGGTCAATTTTTGACTAAAAAATGGGATGTATGTAGGTTTGTAGAGGAAGTCTTCCTCTAGAAACCTACATATATCTCGTTTTTTAGTCAAATGTTTATAGTCGCCTTTTCTTAATTTTGAAAATGAAATCAATTGACTTAAACTCTATATCGAGATTAATTGTTTCTTATGATATGGAGACATAATTCGTTTCAAAAAAAGTTAAAAAAAACTGGTCCACGAGTTTTTCTTGAGTTCACATTGAATTCGTCAAATATACTTCTCAGAGATTGGATATGTTTGTGTTTCTGGAACTGGACCGAATCGAGTCGAAACTTATAAAGTCAGCTAACGAATGTATTACAGTATACATGCACTTAATTTGAACTGTATCGCAATGTTCGAAAATTATCCAACCACGTCAGACAGTGTTGGATATTTGAGTAATTGTCCAAGCGTTTCTTGAGGTATACGAGCAGTCATGGATATGTTGTCTAAGGTTCGGTTTTGAATATTTCTAAACATCATTTTTTTCTCCTTTGGTGTTGATTCACTATAGACAAGTCTGAAATCCTTTCTTTTGACTTCTACTTCCGTTCATAGATTAACTGTAAATGATCACGGCCAAGATCGAACCCGAATGTTGAAGTTTAGTTAGACGGATTCGCATTTCTTTAGAACTGAATCGCTCCTATCTGTAATATTTGTTTATGACTTGAAAGTAGCAAGACAGTCTATAGATCTTTTGTTTGATAGATTAAAATAAATTTATGTAGATCACTTCGATTCAATTTAAAAGTTATCATGTCAGAGTGGTTACGTTGATCGACATATATCCACAAGGCACTGTGTTTAAACCTCGGTACCATCAGTCATGAGATGATCCTGGATAAGTCACTAATAGCTGTTTGGTTTGGATCATCCGTCTAATAGCCTGATGATTACGTTGTGATGTACACCTGCTCTTATAGCTATTATGTAGTTAGTTAGTGTGTATGGGGAGATATCAAGCAGTTGCGCGCAAGAACTCTGTATCAAGCAGATCTTCTGTGCAAAGCTACAGCTAGTATAAGTTGTGTGGAAGATATCGGGCTATTGAACTTGCTTCTAGGTAGAGGTATTCTTCCTTCCTTGTCCTTCAAAAGAAATAAATTCACAGGTTGTTAGTATTTTCTACTTTTTCATTGTGACTAGAATACTTAGACTATAGTTTTATTCTATTCAGTAGAGACTTCTTTGATTATCATCATAGTGAATAAAAAAAAGACATTCTATATATATTATAGGCATCAAAATATCGTAAAATAGGTCAAAATCATTGGGAATTTATGCTTAAAAAGAAAGATCCAAGCAAACCATTTTGGAAACGATTGATTAAATCTACAGAAAAAGTAAATATTTATTTTTCTAATTTCAAATTTTTTTTATATCTCTCTATAGTGTTCATGGATAACTGTTGATTGGAATCATTTTGCTGGTGAAGGTAGATTTCATCCATAGGAAAAAAAGATGCCAGGAAATTATTTGCTTGTTTTATTTTTCATTTAGACGACGACAATGATAATGAAACGGGTGGTACTGGTGGTAAAGATTGGGGTAATATAGGTAACATACTTTTCAGAAATTAAGAAGAAAAAAACTTACATTAAAATTTACTTTTTCTAGATGCACTGCTTAAAAATATGGGCGGAGATGTAAGTGGTGCTGATGCGCCTGGTTTAAATGATACTGACGAGAAAGGAACAGATAGTGATGATGAACCAATGCCGGATCTTGAAGATGTGCCAAAAACAAACGATGAACAGGATAAATCTGCAACACCAACGAATTAAATCTAACATTTCTTTTCCTTTTACATTCGAGCATGGCTTTTTTTTTACAATAAATACTAACATCATTGTTATACATGCTATGTTTATTATGATTTATCATTAGAGATCCGCAAAAATCACTTTTTTCGATTTCGGTCTTGACTAAATTTTGCTATTTGTTATAATGTCAATTCTGTTGCTGAAAGATTTCGACTCATTAATAGTACGATCATTTCTTTATATGCATGTTTTCGAATGAAGGATACAAAAGACTGATTTTCTATTCCGATCAGAATTGTTTTTTTGGTTTCAATTGTACGACTTAAAAAAATCCTCCTAAAACACATAGTTCTCTTAATTTTATAAAATCTATATGAGTGATCTTAAATCGGTGTTATGTGAAGAGTTTATTTAAATGTATCGAAACTCAGAATCTGGAAGACTAGAAAGTAGTATTTTGAGAGATAACTCGAGAGCAGTTCTTGTAAGACGAAGTCTAAGTCGTTAATTTAGTTTTCTATTCCTACGAAGTTGCCAAATTTACATACAGAGAAATCGTTCAATTACTATCGAATTAAATATATATATATTATGTTTTATATTTTCAGAAACCAATTCATATCTTATTACATATACTTGAAAAGAAAAGTTTTATCAGAACTAACATGAAAAGAGAATAGTTCCAGTCGGGTCTAAAACTGAAAATTGTCTAATACCCGAGTCGAAAAGTGCTGAATCCAACGAGCTTTCGGTGTCTGAGAAGTTTGTAGGATGCACTAGTCATGGAATGCAAAAAAAGGTCATTTTTCAGATTGTTATTCATCATCAATACCTTTCTATTGCAGATAACATGACTGATAATTCTACAAATGATTCAGTTCATGGTTGTCGTTCAAATACAGAGCGAATTATAACTGATGATGAATATTCATGTTTACATTCTCCAGAACAACAAGATCGTCAGCAAGTATCATTATTTAAACAAAATCAATTTGATAAAAATGCTCAAAAATATTGGGATCAATTCTATAAACGAAATACAAATAATTTTTTTAAAGATCGTCATTGGACATTAAGAGAATTTAATATAAATATAAATGAAACAATGAAATTATTCGAAGTTGGTTGTGGTGTAGGCAATTTTTTATTTCCATTACTTAATGAAATACCAAATTTATTTATCTATGCATGTGATTTTTCATCAACTGCTATTGAACTTCTTCGTCAAAATTCAAATTATGATCAACAACGTATACAATCATTTATTTGTGATTTAACTGATGATAAGGAAATTCCAATTGAAGAAAATTCAATTGATTTATGTTCAATGATATTTGTTCTTTCAGCTATACATCCAGATAAAATGTCTCATGTACTTAAAAAAATTCATAAAGTAAAAAGCTTTTTTGAAGAATAAAATTTCAAAATTTAAATTGTTTATTCTTTTGTTTGTTTGTTTTTTTTTTTAGGTTTTAAAACCTGATGGTTATCTTCTATTTCGTGATTATGGTTTATATGATCATGCAATGTTTCGATTTGCTCGTCAAAGACAACATAAATTATCCGAAAATTTTTATGTTAGACAAGATGGTACACGAGCTTATTTTTTTTCACTTGAATGTTTAAAAAATCTATTAAATGAATGTCAATTTGATATTGATGAACTTACATATGTATTTAAAGAAACAGTGAATATAAAAGAAGAAATTTGTGTACCACGTGTTTTTGTACAAGGAAAATTAAAAAAAAGAAAAATTGACTAATAAATAAAATATCACAAATTGTATGAAGATGCTACTTTTTGTTTTTTAATGCTATAAGAAAATGTGAGACACGTGACTTTTACAGAAATTTTATTTCATTATTAAAAAAATATTCTAGGAAACAAACGAGGAAACCAACCGAAATGATTCATAAGAATACCCATTAGAGGGACCTTTCCTTTCTCTAAAATGTTCGACTTTTTGCGGATTTTTTACAGCTTCGTGGTTACTTTGGATAGTAATCGGATTTGAAAACACCATTCGGTTTTCTCTTGCAGAGAATGAAATAAAAATAAGTCGACAATATCGTTGTGAGCTGAATAGATTTAAAGAGAGACAGTCTACAGCGCCTCCTCTACTCCAGGAATATTCGACAGTTCTGGTAGAGTTCTCAGACATGCACAAATATTGAAAGTATCTGCGCATTCTATACTAGATTTTCCCTAGCGTATTATCGTTTGTTCTATAGTGGATTTTCTCAATATAAATTCGTTTACGTCGTACTTAGTTTTGTTCAACATGCTCCTATATGTCTGAACTTTATTTGCTCTTGTATTCGCTTGACAATTTCGTTCTTCTCTATATCATGTCAAGTGTTATACGAGTAAATTGAACGCACATAATCTACAGTTTTCTAAAAAATTATGATATCTGAGCCGAATTCCTATCAGTAGACAGTATATTGGTTGAAAAAATGAATAAAAGATTTTTTTTCTAAAATTTTGTGTATAAATAGGTCTCTTCATTTTAAGAATATCTTCAAATTGTCAGTCAAAAACGATTACGTTCTTCTTAAAATATGCAACGTTCAAAAACTAATTTAATTCTCGAAACGGTCAGAAAAATTGAAACTTTCAGAAAATTTTTATGATCATGAGACTTACTTATAGACATCATTTTAGGTCAAAAGTCCTATGTTCCATTATTTTACTAAAATATCGTCTATTAATACAAATCTAGGAAAAAAAGTCATAATTCTGTAGAGAATTTCTATAAGTCCGAATCTGTAAAAGATTATTCTAGATTAATGTGCAGAGAATGGTTTGTTCTACGTTTTTGAACATTCTTCAATGTTTACTTCTTTTAGGATATTCCTCAGAGTTCAAATATGTGTACCAATAGTCAATAAATATCGTCATAATACTAGAAAAATAAAATCATCAAATACATAACAGTCCATCTACTTCAGTACAACAGAATACAAATCAAGTTTAACAAATAGCTTTAAAGTAAAATATTTCATTTCATTAATATTTTTAAACTTATACCTTAGATACTAATTAGCAATATAAGTAGTGAATAAAAATGGGTAACATGAAAATTCATATTCTCGTTACAATTCAAAACAAAGTAATTCTCTCAAATAAGTAAGTAAATATCATAGAGAAAAAACCACACAAATATTTCCATTTACATATTGCTCTTACATTTTATCGTATTTTAAACTTATAATATTTAATCAAACCATAGTATTCCGATGAAAATTGAAAATATTCTGTTATCCAATTCGGGATTAATATCTCTACATTTTACTTCAGATTGAATAGACTATCAATACATATCAAATTAATAAAAAAAAATTTTCTAATCGGTAGACACATTAATCAGAGATGTCTATCACTGTGGTGACAGCTTCTTTTTTTTGAAGGATATGGCAGAATTGCATGAATTTGTACGAAATTCCAATGTCCATAAATATAAGACTCGATAGATCTTATGGATTAGTGACCATAATTCTAGTCCAGTCTGCCGATGTGTGGGACCAAGGTTTTTTTTTTTTATCCCGGTCTAGAGAAAACTGTTTCAGAATTTCGGTTGAAACAAATCTTTCTCGTAGTTCTGGTTCTGTTATCTTACAGTGGTGAAATTCGAAATATCTATTTTAAAATACTGCTACAACATTCTTTCGGTTCAGCGCGGTAGGTTTAAGTCGTAGTGGATACTTTCGCATAGAAATTAACTTGTTAATTTCTTTTGAAAGACTTTGATACATTTATTATTTATTAAAATCGAAATTAAAATAGATTACTTGTATTAAAAAATATTCGAATCACAATAGAGAAAGATCACCATATTTAAGTTTATTAATTCTATTGAGTAATTTAAGTCGAAGTTCGACTGGCATTTTGAAAGTATTACTCAAATGTCCTTCTTGTAGAAGAAGAAGAGCTGTTCCATCAATAAGATGTTCTTTGATTATTGGTGTATAACAATTTTTACCAAGTACATGTTCGAAAAATGAACAAACTTCATCAATCTGAATAAAGAAATAGAAACAAATAAATCCATTCAAGGTGTATATTTCGAAATTTTCAACTTTCATTGATATCAAACAGCAAAAAATCACTATATCAACAATTCTACAGGAATAGAACAGTAATTCAATCTTAACTATATAATGAACTGAATGATTAATATGAAAAAAATTAAATTTTAGTCAAAAGTTACATCAGTGTCCTTGATATTCAATTATTACACTGACGAAAGTTTTCACTCTAGGCTCTAGTATGTTTGTATTGTAAACTCATATTCGAAGATTTGGTCTATTATTATAGAGTGAAAGAAAAATTTATCGATCAAGAAATATACTTTCTTTGGTATTTGTTGCTTAGAGGTGTGAAAAGTAATTTTTTGATATTCATTTGGAAAAGAGTTTCACTAAATGACTTACACTCCATTGATGAACATTTGAGTTTTCAGCAAAAATTTGTTGTTCTTGTTTTTTCGTTGATGATGACTTATTCTCTTGTTGTTGAAATGGTTTTAAACTCTCTTGAATTATCCAACCATCAATTACATGAGTAATTACTGTTGATTTTGATTTACGTTTTAATACATTCTGATCTTGACGAATTCGTAACGTCTTAGTCGATGATACTAATATAGGTTTTACTGTTTGACTGTATTCTGTATGACAATCATCGAATGAATTGATAGTAGTAGTTATTTGAGGAGGGTCTAATAGAGTTCAACGAAAAATAAATAAATAAAAGCACTATGAATGATTTTATACAGACGAAATGTTTTCAATAATGAATTACCAGGTACATCCTATAAGAAACAGAGAATCGAAGTTAAAAATATAATCGAAAAATGTGTCTTTTAACCTGTTGGTTTGTGGATGGTGAAATAATAACTATACAAAAAATAAAAATAATTATATTGTTATTTGATTATAAAGTTAGTTACTTTGTGATGAATCAGTATTGTTATTATTATTCGATGTTGTCATCTGATTTGATGATATATTTGTCGATAAAGTATGAATAAACTTAATAAAAAAATAAATAAAATTTGCATTCTGAAGTTATTTAACTCTAGTTTTTCGTAATTACATTCCAGAATTTTATTGTATTATATAAGTGTACACTACATAGTAATCTACTCGGTGATTATTACTAATTGGAATAGAATATGGATGAGATATTATAGTCAAAGTAGTTCTACGACTATTTACTTTAAAAGATTTCTGCATGTGAGAAGAAAAACGATAGTAATGAGAATAACTACTAATGAATAAATCAATAATTTTGATTGAGTATTATACTAGAAGTAAGACTGATGTCTATGACGTATCTTTCATTTTTTAAATTTTTCTTCCCGATGTAGTCGATTGACAGAAACTAAAGTCAATGTGGGGAAGGAAGGGAAGACATTGAGACAATATTTTTCTTTCTTTCTTTCTTTCTAAATGACAAGGAAAAAACCTCTTTTACATTTTTTTTTCCCATCTGTTTTCAATCGGAAGAGAATGTAAAAAAAAAGTTTTCTTTCGTTTATTTTCTATCTTCAATCAAAATAGAGAACTAATCCTCCATATGGAAGTCATTAACAAAAACGACGACCTCTGTTGGTAACCGTTCGTTGATAATTATCCAGTTTTTTCTTTCTATTTTTTCTCCCAAACAGGTCAAGAACTAATTGTTATGTGCATTTCATCATATTTTGACTCATGTAATAGAGAAATTGTGCAAGATTGGTGTAATTTAACATTTACTAGGTGAAATGACTTGCCCGAAATGAAAAGCAAAAAGAAATCACATCATACCTAAAGAATTGATTAAGGACAAATCTTTTTTTTTTCTTGTGCTGAGCTTTTTATATCAACAATGAAAATAAATAAAGTTTCTCTTTGCATAATTTATAATAAAAACAGAAATTTGATTAAAATTCCTTGCGACACATGAAATTGATTGTTTTGATATATTTTCAATATTGGACTATTTTAAACGTAATTAATATTTTTTAATTTTCCTAATATCCATGATTTATGTTAAAAATAATAAAAACATGTCAGATTTTTTGTTTGGATAGTGATTAATAGCAACGATTCACTATGATCATATCAATTGACTCGTTATATAAATATTATTTTTCGTCTACTTTAGAAAAGAAAGACAAGGACGATAAATAATTCATGATAAGTATCTATAGGATTCTTCCAACCTGCTCAGTCTTCTCTCGTTTTCTACGTTTTGGGCAAAAAAAGACAAAAAACGATGGTTCCTTTGCATGAAAGCATCATAATATCTCTGATTAGAACCAACTATTATGTGTCATAATAACAATATTAAAGGGGTACGAACAGTAATAGTATTGATTGGCCCTCTTTATTCATATGAAATATGTGTACATAAGCAGCATTATCATTTTTAATTCTTCAGTTGCTCTCAGTTTTTGTCTGCTTGTTATTGGCTCAAAATGTGTCATGATGAAAAAAAGAGAGAAGAAAATAGAGAAAAACGGAGATGAAAGACATTCCCATAAAAGGACTGTGCAACATCGTATTTTTTTCTGTCGATTTATTTTTTTATAATTTATTGAGAGAGAAAAAAAAACTAGAAAGTTATTGCTATCGACAGAAAGATTTTATTACATGTGTAAATATTCACCAGACTGTGGCATACATATATATATATATGCTGTCATAGTAAAATGAATTTGATTTTAGTTATTCACATTTTGTGTACCGATTATTATCATTTAATCTAAAGTAGTTTGTATCGTTATTTAAAATTTAGAGCAGCATCTATTCCATTTTATTTTATTTTTTTTGTTTGATTCATTTAATTCTTTTTCTTTTTCTTTCTTTGTGAATTAGATAAAGAGTAAAGAAAAAGAAATCTATTCATTTTTAGTTTTATTCTTCGAGACTAACGTAAATAAATATTTTTTGAAATTGTTGTTAAAGAAAGAATGAATTTATATGATATTCTTTTTCTTTCTTAATTTTAGATACAAAAACTAAATGAATTTCTTGTGGTTGTTGTAGTTAGTGAACAAAGGCATCATTCATAAACGAATAAAATAAAACGTTGGTTTGAGTTGGCTGATATTGTATGTGAGTGTTGGTTGAAAATATAAAAATATTGTCTACTGATTAATACAACAACTGCATCGTCATCAACAGCAATATAGAATAGTTGACGAACGAAGAAACGATAGAAAAAAACAGCGTCAGAGAAAAAAAAGAAAAGAAAGAAAGAAAAACATCCGCTGCGCTATTTAGTCTGTTCGGCTGCTCGGGCATGTTTCATAGTGACGAGGAGCGCAATCGCAATGTCGACCCCTACAATGAATCACAACAGTCATATGCATCAGCGGCAAGAACAACAACAACAACATCAACAACAACAGGAGCAACAGATAAACGAAATACAACATGCACATTCGAACTCGGCCAATTCACCCCATGCGACTTTGACACGTTCGGATTCGACTTCGACAGTTATTTTGGAGGAAGAGGAGACTCGTACATATCGTCGGAATGGGCCCCGAACTCTTCCACCTGCAGTATGGGCGAGCCTCAGTATTCATCTACGTTCTGCCCTGAAGACAAGTGGCCTATTTAACAAAGGTTAGAATTTTAATCGAAATAAGAAATTTAATAAATTTCTTTTTTCTTATTATCAAATAGATCTTGAATCATCTGACAAGTTGAATGAGCTGTTTGCAAATGGAAATGAATTTGCTCTGCAAAAATTATTAAGTGAAGTTGGTGCTAATGATATAAATATTGATATGAATGAATTAATGAAATTGGATTCAACTAAATTATTCGATTCACGAACACTTAGCGACTTTGTAAGTAAAAAGAAAAACAACAAAATTCGAATTCTTTTTTTTTCCCTATAAAATTTCATAATTACAAATCACAAGAAAGATAAAGAATGAACTAATATTTTTATTTTTCTTTGTCTTTACAGTTACGATCTGAATCATTTGATCAATTAATAGCATCAACAATAAATAGTACAGATGTTAATCCATCTGCAATTGCTTGTTCAACAACGTCATTTTCTGAACTTCGACCTGTATCACCTGAATTAACAACCAATAATATTTTCCATAGAGAATCCGATCAATTAAAACTCGGATCTGATCATCCATTACTTTATAGTGAAATGAATTCATTTGATTCATTAACATCAATGACAGATCCTCCTCAATTTGATTATAATCAAGGTGCATTAAGTGCTTTTGAACATGATCATGCTTTTCTTTCTAAACGAGCACCAGTTATTGATACACCAAAATCACCTAATTCCAAACGAACACCTACACGTGGACCTCGTCGAACATCATCACGAATTCAATCACGTGCTGTATGTTCAACATCATCAGAAAGTAGTGCATCAAAAAGTAAACAACCTCGTAATGTTAGTCGAGCAACAGATATTAAAACAGCTGCTGATTTATCATACTATTTGGAACGACGTCGAAAAAATAATGAAGCATCAAAAATGTCTCGAGCTGCTCGAAAACAAAAATTCGGTGACATGGATCATCATTGGTAAATAGAAAAAAAAAATTTCTTTTATTTTTAAATTTTAATTGCTTTCTTTTCTTTTCTCATTTTTAGTGAAGAGTATGAACGTGTCAATGCTGAACTTCGTATGAAAATTATAACACTTGAAACAGTAACAGCTACACTAAAAAATGGACTTGTTAATAATTTTCAACGAAAACCTAGTGTTTAAACCGGGAATATGAAATATACACGTGTATCTCCTTTGATTTTTCTCTATCGATTCTTCATAAATTATTTGTCAAATATGATGTAACGAAAATTTTTCTCGAGTGATCGTATTCCTGGTTCTGGTTTTTTTTAATGTTTAGTTGAGGTAAGAAGAAAAAAAAAGATTCTGATGGTTTAATAGTTGCAATGCAATATATGTAACTGCTCTCCGTATTTTACTATCAGTTGGTGATATATCGTTATATATATATATGTGTGTGAGTTCTTTTTTTTTTTTTTTTTTTGATGAAAAATATTTCAATGTAAGCAAAAAAAAACAAAAACGTAGAAAAGTAGACAAAAAATATGTTTTTATTTTGTTGTTATATAGTTTTTTTTTTTGTTTTCTCTTATCTGTAATCGATGCTTGTATTTGTAAATGCGAATTAAAGAAAGAGAAAAAACTACATATGATTAAATATGTATGTATGTCTTTACATTTTGTGATATTTCTATACTCTCTCTGTGTTATAAATTGTTACGAAGAGAGTAGGTAGCAGAGTAATATTTGTAATTATATTGTATTATTATAATCCAGAGTATATAATTAAATTCTTCTTTTTTTTTTTTTGAGCTACCCATTATGAATTCATTGTGTTGCTTTGTTTTATTATTTTTGCTTTAAAATAACTAAAATATATGATGTCATACAAGAAAAGGATAATTTTATAAAAATTCTTTTTTCTTTTTGAAATTCAATGCAAACAAATATATAATGGATGATATTGAACATTGATGAAGTTTAATATATACTAATGTAAAGCAAAATCAATGATATATTAAGTATCTGTCAGACATTTTTTATTTTATCTAAAGAACATAGAGAGTGCATAATAAAATCGGACAATCGGTCATCTCGTCTCTTGGGAAGTGAATCGCATGTTGTTAGTGTGACTCTGTTTTTTATTTTATTGCAATGAATTCATTTGTTAAACGATGCGCATATCTTTTTTATATTTTCTCATATAAAATGATAGATTGTATCCAGCTGGATTTTGTTTGTTTCTTTCGTTCTTTCTTCAGCTAACATTTCTATACTCAAAGCATCATGATAAATCGATTGATTGAGTCAAGCGAATGAAATGATTGTATACATGCAAATTTTCAATTTCTTTTCTCATTTTCGTTCAAAGGTATATATGGTTCAGATCGTATGATCTGTACATTATTTTTTCCTCGTAAGTTTATGATGACTTTCTCCCATATATATATATATATACATATGCAAAATGAATGTGAGTGAACGCAAATACATTACTCATGTGCTGGTCAATACTGATATGAATAGTGAGAGGAGAAAAATCAGAGAAAAAGAAAACGAGAATAAGGTCAATATTCTCTCTATAGAAATGCTATGCATGCATACATTTATATATATTGTTGGATAGAAAAGAAAGTCTTCTTGATGAAAAATCTGATGTGCTAGCTCATTTATTTCATACTATCCCGATATGAATATGTTTATTCTTGATCAATCACATATGATGTATTCGGAACAAATACCAACGTCTTCATTTAATACAGCTACAGTTTATCTTCAAGATTTTCATTCAGAACCTTGTCAAGTATGTGGAGAAAATGCTAGTGGATGGCATTGTGGTTCAATTACATGGTAAATTTATTAATCGATTATTGACATACATAATATTAAAGTTATTTTCTTTAGTGAAGCATGTAAAAAATTTTTTCTTCGATCAGTCAATGGTGAATATCTTAAATACAAATGTATACGAGATAAGAAATGTATTATTGCACGTACTACACGAACACAATGTCAATATTGTCGATATTCAAAATGTATTGCAATTGGCATGAAAATTATTGGTAATATCAATCGTTTGTTTTTGTGAAATACGATCTAAAAGGAGTGTTGAAGTATATAGGGTAGAAATTTGTACATTCTATAGACCATGACAGATGCGGATCTGATGAAACCGTATTTAGATTTGTTCAATGAAATTTTTTGATTAAAGTAGGATAATCGTTTCAAAGATGCGAGATACTTTTTTCCAGTTTTTTGTATTTGATGACGAATGTGTCCACTACAAAAAAAATGAGCCGCTGAGTATTTTTTGAATAGTTTTAAATTGAAAGAAGATAGAACGCTGCGGTTTTCAGCATTGAAAATGGGAGGTGAAGTCACATTGAATCATCTAGTTTATTAAGTTTTCTCATAATGTTTTCTGGAGTATTTTTAAACAATTTGTTTTAAGAATGTGTATGAAAAATGATTTCTTTTAACATAAGAAAAAAAGTGAAATTATAGTTTTTCTTCACAATAATTGCTTGTAAAATTGAACGAGAATTTCACGCAGAATATCTATGAATTCTGACTAACTAAATTGAAAAATTTGAGACCTCGCATAGTTTCATAGATCTTTGATTGGCAGTTGAGACGCAGACCTGATAATTGAAAATCTAAAAAACACCGTGTTGAAAAATCTTGAACATACGATTTGATGCATCTGCATCTTCTCTTTCTAAAGGTAAAAATCACGGCACTGTATCTTGTTTCTATCAAAAGTTAGTAAAAAAAGTTCCCATTCACCTTTTTTCTCTGAAACATGTAGGGTAGACCCTATCCGGCGCAAAGTTCTTGGAGCCGGAATCAACCCAGGCGGGCTCTAAACATTACAGATCGTGACACGCGTTGCTGATATACGATCAAAGACCAAGTATCAGCAATATCTCGCTATAATATATGAACAACTTCCTTATTTCATTTCTGGAGAAGGACGTCCACATTTTTATTTCACTGGAATTGTGTTAATAGCTTTTTTTTGAATGTTCAATGTTTGAAATAAATAGAAGAAAGTTCCAATCCAAAAATTGAAGAAATCTTTAAAGAAATTCCATGTGCTGTTTGTCAATCTGCATCATCTGGTATACATTTTGGTGCAACAACATGTGAAGTAAGTGTTTTATTTCAATTGATATTAAACAAATCTTGTTTTTTATTTAGGGTTGTAAAGGATTTTTTCGTCGAATGATAAAAGAACGCATACCACAACATTATAAATGTTCAGAAAAAAATAATTGTGAAGTTAATGCTATAACAAGAAATATGTGTCGAGCATGTCGGTTTCGAAAATGTCTTACGGCAGGAATGTCTATTGAAGGTTCACGTATAGGAAGACAATCAAATTTATTTAAACATAAAATGGTTGAAATGCAACGTCGAGGTTTAATTCAACCTCAATTATTCAATATATTGACTTCAAGTTTAAATAATTCAAGAAAAAAATTAACGCATATCAATCAAGGTAATTGTTCTTTAAACTAATACAAAAGAATGACTTATTTGAGATTCTATAGTTCTCATGATATGATGAAGTTTATATTTTAGTATCACTTCATAAAAATTGAACGTTCAGAACAAGAAGAAATAATTTCTAATGTTCGAGAAATAATATGTTAGTTACAAGCAGGAATGAGTTGGGGGGGGGGGGGGGGAGGTTGCTAATGGGCAAAAGGCTTTTCGGGGAAGTTTTTTGAGCGAATGAAAAAAGCAAAAGAAAATTGAGCAAAGAAATTTTGAGTGAAAACACTATTAAGCGAAGAAGCAAATCGACGAAAGGACGTATCAGCGAAGAAGTAAATCAGCGAAAAGCAGAGTGAGCGAATTTTTTTTCGCAATAATAAAAAAGAAAATTTAAATAGAAGAAACTTTATTCATAATCAAATAGAAAATAGATTTGAACGAGTTAATTCTTCTTCATATATTTTAGGTATAGAATTAGTTTCAGATTGTACTCTATCTTTTACTTTTTTTCTTAAGTTTCGAAGTTCGATTTGTTCTGAATTAGGTATATGATAATGATAACGATTAGCTTTAGGAAATTCGTCGTTTTTGTTTGTGTCAATGGTGGCCAAACAGCCATCACTATGACAAACCCAATATTTTACTTTCTCCGTCGACTTTTTAAGTCGATGAATATATCCTGAGTAAACGAGCAAAGGCTTGCCTCGATTCGAAGTGGTAAAAGAGATCGATGGTAGATCGGTCATACTTAGTTTAGTTAAATAAATAAATAAAATGATGTACGTAGTAGGGACGTATGATCTATAAAAGAATGCGTGTGATAAAAGATAAGAAAACAATGGATTATTTCGTCTGTACAAGTACAACAGAGAAGGAAATAATAAATAAGGACGGTTACTGGTAAATATATTAAACTTGATGAATTATTCTCATAGATCGGTAGATGGAGCTCACCATGAAAAGAAATTCGCTGAAAGTTTTTTCGCTGTCTTATTTTTCGCTGTTTTGCTCTTTTCCTAATTTAGTTTTTCGTTATGATCTCTTTTCGCTGTAAATTATTTTCGCTAAATTGTTTTTCGCTGTTTTTTTTTTCGCTGAAACGACACCATTTCGAGTTGGGGCGTTTAATTCGTTGTTTTACTCAGCTATTCTACAAAAAATAATTCTCGACTTCTCTGCCAAAATAAGTGAATTTTAACAAAATTTTTTCAATCTGTCTCCTATGTCATTGATCATCCCCCAATTGGAGTGACCTCGGAACACTCCTGGTTAGAAAGTCATAAGTCTTCCTTCTTGCCTCTTTATAATACAAAAAAAGTTCCCTCAGTGGAGATGTGCAGTAGAAACTTATAGTTCCGGCACTAAAAACATGAAAGAAAAGTTGTCTAAATTGAAACTAAAGATTACAGTAAAATATTCTATGGTTTTAATCGAATTACCTTATAAATCACATCAGTCCGAACATAACTCAAGACAGATGATCTAAAACAGAGCGCTAGTTGTCCACTAAATAAATCAAAAAATGAGCACTGAAAAATCTTTTTACATGTGGTAAGAATACATTGTTTAGTCGAGACTACGTATATCATCAAGATTCCAATGCACTAAGAATATTCTGAGAAGAGTTCGAGATACTTAGCTTAGTGTTGTGGAGATACTGCAGCAATACGGTACTTTTTAAATTGATGTCGTAGTCTTCTTCTCAGAAGCACCCGGAAAAACTGTTTTTCAAATTTGGACTTGCAACTTATTACATACACAGACCTTAAAGAGTATAGCTTATTGTAAAATGTTCAGATCTTCTGATTTGCCCGCATCCTGAAATAAGAACATCAACTCTTTCAATATAAAAGACATACTTTTACCATAGTTATATCTTAGAATATAAATAACAAAAAGATCTGAATTTTTCATAATAAAGTATTCTAATTAAGTTTTGTCTGTGTGCAAAGCTTCTAGTTGAAGTTTAAAAATCAATTTTTCTAAGAAAGGTCACGACGCCAAATTAAAAAATTCCATCCTGCTGCAGTATCGTCACAGCAAATAGCTAAGAACTCGAACATTTTTCAGAGCATCCATAATTGATAGGAGTTTATATGATGCACATAGTCCTAACTCAAGTTATTTTTATTCGATCAAATGGAATTAAACAAAGAATCAGTCCTATTCTGCTATGACTTGTAGTACTTATTGCCTTGATGTTTTCAATATAATAAAAATGACTGGTAAACATTAAAATTGATAATAAAAATTAGTATTTTGTGATTTATGGAACATTTAAGTACCTTTCCATCATCATGATTTATGATTGAAACTGATTCTTTTTTTCAATTTTTAGAACCACCAGTTGTGTCAAGTGTAGAAGATAAACTTGATTCTGAAGTGTTTCAACAAATATTGAAGATTGAAAACGCTTATATCAGTCAACTTAAAGTATATCAATTTTTCTTCTTTTTTGCTTAGTTTATAAACGCTTTTAGGAACTTCCAATTTGTTCGAATGAAACAAATGACGTATGGATGGCTTGTACATCTCAATTGAATGAATATTCGAATCGTGTCAGAGATTTTATTGACAGAATACCAAGTAACTATAGTAGAAAAAAAATACAACAAATGATTAAGAATTGAAAACATTTTTTTAAAGATTTTAATTCTATTCATTTTATTGAAAAAACATCACTTACTCATTTATCTACTCATTCTGTTATTTTAATGTGTCTTTGTATACATTCATTACGTTTACGAACAATAAATACTAATTGGAATTATTTTAATATTTCATCAAATTCGTCAATCAATCAATATGTACAAGAACGTTTTCCGTTTTTCTTTGAATTAAATCGTTTAACATATTCATTTCAAAAAGAACTACAAATACTTGAACTTGATGATAAAGAAATTTCACTTATGCTTACGTTACTTATAACTTCAATTGGTTAGTAGAATGATTGAAGAAAAATGCCAAGGTTTTGGGTTTTTTTTAAAGATTATTTCACTATTTTCGAGTAAAATTTCTAAGCCCATATTCGAAAAGAGCACAAAATTCTCGGCTTAACTCATCGGAAATACGTTCTAGTGAGTCAAGAGTAAACAAAAATTCTGTCTGAAATCATTTACGATTACCCGTTACTTTAAAAAAAATAAAATTTGTTTTTTTTTGTTTTTAGGAAACGATAAGTTAAAAGAAATCGAAAATATTGAAGAAGAATTTTTTTCGATTTTATATGATTATATGGCTGGTAAGTTTATATATTTATGATTATTTTTTTTTTGTACTAATGAATTATTATTTAATATTTAGTTAAACGTGGTATTGATAATAAAGATTATTTTATTTTAACAATTCAAATTCCACTTTTACATCGTATTAATAATCTAATATCGACAAATATAAGTAATTTTAAAGTCTCATTACCTTATGAAATATAAAAGTAAAATTTTATTTAACTCATGTTTGCATTAGTTGAACTTGAAATATTTTTTTTCTCTTATTCTTATATTCAATTTATTATATAAGTTCTGTAATAAAAATTCTGAATGTTTATTAGTATATTAAAGAACGTAATTATGAATATGAAAGAGCTGAAGAAAAACTGACTGCATGTCTACAGATGTTTACCGCAAAAAATAAATCGACGAAATTCGGAGTCATGTGATAAACTTTCGATTATCTTCAATCAGTTCTATTCTAGTATTTTTCAGCAGGTATTGCATAGAACAATCAAATGATACATCATTAATAGAGATGCTTGAAATCAAGTGTTTTCAGTCCTGAAAACCACTTTTTCAGTGGTTCTGCTGCTTATGATTCTGGTTTTTGGACTCTGTTCGTTGTTTACGAGTGAACCTCTTAGATGTTCTCTTACGATTTCAATGGTTCTTTTTTACATCTAGACAATGGGTGATTCCATGGGGTTTATACCACTTTTTGGAAGTGGTCTTGGATTTTCATTTTCGTCTTCTAATTCACCCGAAGACAGTCTGAAAAGCATCCAGCAAAAAAAAAAATNTTTTCAGACTGTCTTCGGGTGAATTAGAAGACGAAAATGAAAATCCAAGACCACTTCCATCAAAGTGGTATAAACTCCATGGAATCACCCCAATACATAATATTCTGATGTAAACCTAAAAAAAGTTTTGAATTTCTATTGACGCTTGACGGAAATATTGAATTTCGATTGTGTCTATTTACCTGACACTCCTGTATGACTCAAGATTTTCAAGAAAATCCTGTTTTTGAATTCTATCATGAAAGTGTTGCCATGTGTAGGTCTCATATGAAACAGCTTTTATTGAAAATTTCATAGTTGGGAGACTTCGTGTCTTGAAAATATCAAGTCTTCAATCTTTGAAACTTTAAATGAAAATAGTTTCAAGACAAAATTCAGTCATGTCGTCAAGTCTCAGTAAAAATTCAAGTTCTTTTAGCTTCGTTAGAGAGAACTATTTCAAAACTTATTCGCATAAAATCAACAAAAACTCCTAAATATTCGTGTTTGGATTAATTAGTAACAATCAAGGGAAATTTATCTATGATTTTTTAGTATCACTTTGCGAAACTGAGACTAAAACTGGTCCCATATATCTCTAATTATTACAGATAGATCTAGTTTATTAGTTATATAAGATAAAAATATTACACTAGAGGAAAGTCCAGCAAAACAATATATACAACATATTCGTACAACGTTGCTTCTTTTGATGTTTTGTATTAATGTTACCATCTTGTTATTTTAAAATAAAATATGGTAAAATATACAAACAAACACTGGTGATTAATGTTTAATAATTTGAAAATCAGATTGAGTGTTATTAATTCATAATATAAAATCAAGGGCATTTCAATTTCTTCAAACAATTATCGATCTAATATATTCGCAGTTGCTATACTATGGAATACGACATAGTCTCTTTAAATGAAAAATGATTCTGAAATGAAAGTAAAGATCTTGATTGATAATAATCTTATTAAAAAAAATTAAAAACGAAAAATTAAAATGAATACAAAGAAAAGCATGATCGTATCAGATGTATCGAATGCTTCAATGAAACAAAACAATGGTTTTTGTTGGAAAAATTGTCATTATTTGCAACGTAAAGAAAATATTGATATTGTTCTTATGAGAAAACAAGTCAAATGATTTTTCGGATTTGAAATATATACACTGTTTATCAACCTTATTCTATCAGTTTCTTGAAACATCTATAACTGATCTCTACTGAAATATTGCCATATGAAAATGGAACAATTTCTTTACATTAAAATCATCTAATTTTATCAAATTTCCTTCAGGTTTCTTTTTACTCTTCTCAGCTATCATAGAGTTCATGTGGATATACTTTGTACTTTTTCTTTCCTTCGTACATCTGTAGTTATCTTATGTAATTATTAGTCTGTTTTTGATGCATGATATTCTTGTCGCATTTTACATTTTTGTTAAGTACACAATCGTCTGAAGCTATTGGGAACGATGAATATCATTTCTTTTTTTCACCTCAAATGCGCTGAATTTTGGTGCGTATTTTTTCGGATATGTTTTAACATGGAAGAGTTTATGTTGCAATCTAACTTCTATATTTCGTTCATTTATTGCCAAAACGAATGGATGATTCCACAATATAAATAACACTATATTTTGCTCCCTCCAAATCGATTTTCTCGTTTCAAATCATATAAAGCATAGTTAATTTACTTACCACGATGACAAAAGATAATTTGAGCTCATCGTGATATAGTAGGGTTTGTAGAACAAAGCGCGCTTTACACGCTCGTATATAACCCTTTTCGTGGAAGTAAAAAACAGGATATCATTTTAGCATAAAAAGATGGTCATATAGTGGCATATATATCTACTTATAATTTATTAAAGTGAATTCTGCTTTACAAAATCTGGTATGTCACTTTTTCGTACAACTTTTTGGCAATAACTCTGTTTAACTTGTCACGAAATCACATTATGAATTCAATTCTACAGAGATAAGAATGTTCAAGATTCTTAGTCTTCACCATAAATGTGAGAAAATACAATACCAATTAATTACAATAATGTCATTCAGAATTTCTCCAAAGCATATTATTAGCTGTACAGTACTTTCAATTTACTGTGTAGACTACTCTGGTTTACAAACCTAATAGCAGGAAATACCTTAACAGAAAATTTCAAGTATTATACAAGTAAGGATATACTTTGGAGAAATTCCGAACGATATTATTCTAAATAACTGTTATTTTATTTTTTCACGCTGATGGTGGGTGAAGACTAAAAATTAAACACATTCGGACAGCATTATATTTTCATAAATTTTTTTGAGAAAAAAAAACTTAGGTCGTTTTTTAATATTAAAGATTGTGATGCCAAAAAGTTGTAGAAATAAGCAAACTACATAGAAAATAAGGCACAATTTTTTAAAGACCAATCTTACGCAAAAAGTGACATGTTTGTTTGCTTGGGCACTTCTCTGCATACATCTGACGAAATCGGACAGAAAAACGAACAAAAAAAATCGAAAAAAATCGACTAAAACTCGCTATTTTAATTCAAAAAACGTGCAAAATCAATTCGAAGGAGCTCAATGTAAATATGTCGCACATACAGTGGAATCACCTGAAAATAATTTTATACATGTAAAAATATTATGCTGGAGGCACATCAATTATGTACAAGGAGAAAAATAAAAATCAATGGAAAAATTAAGTTCTATAACATTTTCACAGGAAAACAGCTCTAATTAAGCTTCACGACAGTGATGAAATTTCAAAATGAAAAGAACCACGAAGGAGAAAACCAAACTTCAATTTACTTTTAAAAGAATGTTCACATAAGCTAACTAAATTCTTTCTTCCTTCAATAATTTGATACAAGCAAAGAATGATTTTCTATGTGCAAAGCTCAATCAATCTAAAGAAAACGATCGTATATATTGATAAGAATTTAATGATAATACTATGAAAATTATAAGGTAGTCAAAATATGTAATGACATAATCATTTGACACAGGTCATATTCTCAAATCATTATTTCATACTGTATAGAAGGAAAAAAAAAGTTGTATCGTTGATTGGTAGTTATAATAATGGTCGACAGTTAAAAACGGAAGTTGCCATTTTTCTTAATTGTTTGACAGATACAATTGTCCATCAAGTTCTGCACGCTAGAAAAAGAAAAAAAAAAGTCAACGAATCAAGTCAGTCATCCCTTGTTTCAGAATAATGTTCAGTATATATATACAAAATCTAATTGCTCGAAAGTTGTTGTCGTACACGCGCCGACTATCATTAACATGCTCATATTGAATGCTGAGAGGAAGCTCATCATGTCAGCTGTCCTGACGTATAAATGCCGGAAGACGACGATCATCCTAACTTACTGATTGGATTGATCGAATGCATGGGCGTGAAAATGATTTTCTTTTTTTTTTCTTGTGTGTGTCATACATAGGGGACATCGACTCGTTAACACCTTTTCACACAAAGATAAGACCTCAAAAAAAAACAACGACAAGTTCATGTTGGGTTAGTATTCTTCTATAATCAAGTGTGAATGAACAACATATATTTATGTAGCTTTTTTAAATAGACGAAAAAGAAATAAAAGTGTCAAACGAATATATAATGTGCCATCTAGATTTTGATCTTTTTAATAGAGAACATGAAATCAAACTCCCTTCCATTTACAACAACAGTAGTCAAATATCCGGCTGAAAGATGATGAAAACAACTAGAACAACAACAACATAGAATTCCAACATAGATAATTTGCTCTCCTTCCTGTGTATCTATAATTAGTCGGTCTATGTTAAGTCATTTTGTTCATTACGTGAACAATCTCTAATATGTTCATTTGCACACCATGTCACTACTATTAATCGAATTAATCTACTTTTTTTTTTGGTTTTCTTTTTCTATATCGCGGCATATTGAGTAGATGATTAGTTCTATCTCACTTGACAGTTAATCTTAAATTTCTTTACATGTATTTTATATCTATTATCAAACCTGTTATTTTATTTTAGAACTTAAAAAAGAAAAGATGTCTATATAAAATGATTGATCTATAGGTTGGTTCGATGAGTAAAAGACGAATTGAATTTGCCAGAAGGCTTGAAGATGGGTTTGATATATGGCGACATACATTTTATATATATGTATTTATCATCAAAAGAAACAAGCGCTAGTCTTTTATAACAATTAAAATAAGCTCGAACGGCTGCTACCTACCCACATTGAAAGCAGTTTTTTTCACACCTCACCATAGGTAGGCGAAATTCATATAAAGAAATAGATAAGATTTTTTTTTCATTTGCTTCTTTTTTGGTCACAATATCCTCATTAAAATAAAGATGGACATCAACCGATTAACAAAGACAACGTAAGATAAATGTTAGTTTAATGACAACCAAACGTCAAAAACAGTAGGAAATAATAATGA